TAAGTTTGACTAAAAGTCAAACTAGTAAAAAAGCCAACGATTAATGGTCAAAGTCCACTTCAACAGATCGCTACTTCGTGGTGCTCCAATTATGATGACGTGGGAGGAAAACTTCAAAATAATCGGGCATCCCCTAGTCACCATGTCGTGGCCTCCCTTTGCCACGTTGTAAGAATTGGGTCTCAACAGCTTAATGCATTAAGTTGTTTTCCTTCAACCTCAAGAGCTCCAAAACTTAGATCTACTCATTCCCAAGGTCTTGATGGATAAAGTTTTCAACTTTACCCATTAAGACACCTCAATGAGTTAAAATCTCTAAACCTAGATCCTTTATGACAACTTATTGTTGGATTAGGTGTCTAAGCTCATAACTATAACTGGGATGTACTTGATCTGATAGTAGAATGGTCATTTTGGGTTGCCTTCACCAGTGCAATTTGATAGGATAGACTTTGGAGAATAAGGTTATTTGTGATTTATTAATATATTATAAGTATAATATATTAATTGAGAAATCATATTATTCAATTAATATTGATCAAGAATTAATTTGGAATTAATTTGGTGATCAAAAGAGACTGAATAAAAAATATAAAGGGACTGATTAAGTAAATCAACTATTCTTATAGTGTGGGCCTATGATTCCTGGTTAATTAGGACGGGCTAAACCAATATGATAGTCCATGGATAGTCCATGGAGGTTTAACCCATGGAGCGAAAGTAATATGAAGGGTCATGGTGCACTAGGGTTTGCATGGATGAAACCCTAGCCTTTGTAACACTATAAAAGCAACCCCGTAGTGTTAAAATTGGTTGTACATTCATTCTAAGAAAGTGATAACCAATTTTTATGCTAACTAGCCCATTCTCTCAAGCCTCCTCTTGCATTTGGTGTTTGTGACACATTAGAGGCATCACACTTGAGGTGCTAAATCTTTCTAAGGCCAAGAACTTCAAACTACATAAGAGGTATTCATCTAACTATGAGTTTTATGTTGTATATCCTCTATTGTATGCTAGTTAGGATGTATGCTTTGGAAAATTGAAATTGCATGTATAACTACAGAAAACATAGATCCAAAGCATCCAGGGTTGCATGTGCATCGTAGGAGTGTTATAGTGCTTAACAGCCAATAGTGGTATCAGAGTCTATGATTGTTTTCTATTATATTTGATGCTTGGTAATTTTTCAAAGCTGAAAAAATCGATTTTCTGGCATCTGATTGATGAACTCGCCGAGTCCACTAACTGACTCAACGAGTCCACTCAGTAAAAGGGCAACTCGGCGAGTCCGGTTCATGTACTCGTCGAGTAGAGGTTTTAGGTTGCAGAATTTCGAGTTTTTGGCCAGAATTGGAGTAGGATCATTACCACAAACTGTTTTGTAATCATAAAAATTGTATTTTCTGATTTGGTAATGATGATCCTTATCTAATTAAAGGACAATTGTCAAATTTTAAGATAATAAAGTAATTATTTGTATTATTTGATATGATTTTCCTTGCTATATGAGTTAGATTAGATCAATGATATATTATATGATAATGTTGATTAGTTAAAATTGATCTAAAATTATCCTTGAAGTGAGTTTTGTAACTTGTCCTCAAGTTATATGAAGAGTCTCATTCATGAACATTAAAACTCATAAGTTTTCATAAGTTATGAAAACCAAAAGTTTTGAAGAGTTACAGAATTTGCCCTCAAGTTATATGAAGAGTCTCATTCATGAACATTAAAACTCATAAGTTTTAATAAAAGTTATGGAAACCAAAAGTTTTGAAGAGTTAAAAAACTTTCCCTCAAGTTTTGGAATTTGTAAAGTCTCACTAATGAAACATTTAATTCCAAACCTTAGAATTTTAAAAGTTTAAAATTCAACCCTTATACTATTATAATATTATAAGTTTAATATATATATATATATATGTATGTATGTATGTATGTATGTATGTATGTATGTATGTATGTATGTATGTATGTATGTATGTATGTATAGGAAAAGTCAGTCTTACCGTTAGTAGGTCTCATTCGCGAAGTCGGTCTATAAGGGGGGAATAAGGTTACTGCCTATAAAATGGTGGTTTAATGGGTGTCCACTCTCACCCACCGCTTCCTTGACTGGTGGAGGGTCGTTAGTCGAACGGGTAGGATATGACATTAATTCTCATTATCAGTATAATGATAACTATAAAGTAACTAAACTTTTATTAAATTCCCAATATTAGTTACTTTAGGAAAAATGTGAAAATGGTGCTATTCCATGAAATTGCACTTTGCACCTTGTTAAGTCATTAATGGAGCGTGTGTGGTTAACCGACACACTAATCTGGGACTAACAAGGGTGGAAAACGGTAGCTTGATGTTAATAATAGATCAATGGAACGTGTGTGGTTAACCAGCACATTGATTAGGTGATTTGTAATATTATGAGTACCAAGCACATTTGCATGGTTATTCACACCTTGTTTGTGATCTTCGGCATCCCAATCACAAACTTGAAGGGCACAATCAAGATTTAAACATGCCATTGAAAAGTTCAATGAATCTCAAAAGAATGTAGGAATTTCAATCCAATTAAAACTTAATAATCAATTTCGTTTTTCATGGTGGAAATTGGTAAATCGTCATTTACCTACCTTCACATATTTTGGAATTGTATTATGGCATCCCTCTTTCGAATTATAAAATATTGTGTTGGGTCCTAGCCTTAATATTTCATTTGGGTGTAATATTAAAGATTCTCATCTAATCTAAACTTTTTTCTTCTTTCTTTTCAGATGTCTATCCCAAACAATGCTTCAAGCTCCAACCCTTCTAGCTCATTCTCTCTCATGAAATTGGTTAGGAGAACTATCTTCGATGGGTCAAACTTTAACGATTAAATAAGAAACATTCGTATGACCCTTCGCTACGATGACAAAGAATATGTCCTCGATAAAGAGCTAAAGGAGATTGATGAACTAACTGCTACTCCCGAACAGATCGATGAATACATGGTTCATAAGAGGGACACAACAAAGGTGTCATGCATTATCATTGCTATCATGACTGCTGAGTTTCAAAATTCCTATGAGGACTTCTAGCCCTTCTAAATGCACCAAGATTTGATGGAAAGGTACCATAAAAGTGCTCGACAGGAAAGGTATGAGATCATTGCTTCCATGATCACAACCAAAATGAAGGATAGAGAGTCCATCATGGGCCACTTACAAAAGATGCAAAGCTATGTGGACCGATTGCTGAAATTAAATGTCAATTTTGATGAAGAGTTGACCATAGATATCATTCTACACTCTTTACCTTCTTGTTATGATCAGTTCCGTATGACCTATCATATGAACAAGGAGGAGGTCACTCTTATCAAGCTTCAAGGCCTTCTAAGAACTGTAGAAAGCAATTTGAAAGGCAAGTCGGTTGTACCTACTCCTACTGCTGCTGCCCCCATTTTGGTAATTGACATGGGAAAGGGAAGAAGAGGAAGGCTCCTTCTAAGAGTCGCAAGGGAAAGTCTCTTGATGGATCCTTTTCACGTGGAGCCAAAATTGGTTCTGCTAATCCCTCTACCAATTTAAAGCAACAGAGTGCTCCCATTGTCATGAAGAAGAGCACTGGAAACGAATTTGTCCTAAATACTTGCAGGACATTAAGGATGGAAAGATAAAGCCCACCTTCGTAGGTATTTACATTATTCTTTCTAATAACTCAGCACATGCTAATTCTTGCGTCCTTGATATAGGGTGTGGATTTCACATTTGTTCTGATTTGCAGGGACTAAAAAGAAGTAGGTATGTGGAGCACAGGAAGATAAACTTAATCATGGGAAATAGGAAAATGTCGCCTATCATCAAGATTGGAGTTTATTCTTTATTGCTTAGTAGTGGGTTAGAAATAAAGTTGAATAATTGTTGTTACTCGTCGGATATGGTGAGAAATATTATTTCCTTTCATAGTTTGTATAAACAAGGTTTTACCTTTTCTTTTAATAATGAAATTGGTAGTATTAATGCTTATTATAATGGTACATTTTATTTTGAAGCATTACCCTGTAACGATATATATGAAACTGTGATGGTTGTAGATAACCTAGGAAATAATGTGTTGAATATTGATTCGTCTAATGTTTTGGATAATGCATGCTTATGGCATTGTCATCTTGGACATGTCAACAAGAAGCGCATAGACCAACTCCAGAAGAGTGGAGTTTTGGAGTCATTCGACTTGAAATAGGATGACACTTGCAAATCTTGCTTGCTTGGAAAGATGACTAAGTCACCATTCACTGGTACTTATGAAAGCGGTGAAGGTCTGTTGGATTTCATACACACCAATGTGTGTAGACCCTTCAGAACCACCACAAGGGATGCAAATCGCTTCTATGTGACTTTTACTGATGATTACATCATATACGGCCATATCTACTTAATCAAGCATAAGTCAGAAACCTTTGAAAAGTTCAAAGATTTTAAGCGGGAAGTGGAGAATCAATTGGGCAGGAAGATAAAGATGCTGCGATCCGATCGAGGAGGAGAGTATCTTAGCATCGATTTCCTAGACTATCTTAAGGAATGTGGAATTGTTTCACAATTGATGCCACCTAGGACACCACAACTTAATGGTGTGGCTGAGAGGTGCAAT